GATCTTGGTGTTGTGGTTGATTAGTTTCTTAAGTCATCAAAGCAGTGTGTTTTTGCTATTAGTTGGGCAAGTAGGATTTCAAGTTGTATCTACAGAAATATTGAATACTAGTCTAAAAAAGGTTACATTTTCATTGTATTGGTCACTGGTTAGACCACATTTGGAGTATTGTGTTTAGTCTTGGGCTCCTTATGTTAGGAAGGACATTGAATTGTTGGAAAGGATTCAGAGGAGGGTTTCTAGAATGGTGCCTGGGATTGAAGGGTTGTCATACGAGAACAGGTTGAGATCTCTTAAATTGTTTTATCTTAAAAAAAAAGGAGAGTTAGAGGGGATCTGATTGAGGTATTTAAGATTGTAAAGGGAATTGATAGTGTTGATACATCACCTTTTATCATATTGAATAGCAAGAATAGTAGGAGTAGAGAGCATAAATATAAATCTTGGCAAAGTACGAGTAATCTTCAGGTAAGACAGTTTTATTTTTCTAACAGGGTGGTTGGCCGTTGGAATGGGTTGCCTTCAGATGTTGTAGAGGCAGTAAATTTAAGTAAGTTTAAGAAAAAGCTTGATAACTATATGAATGATAAGGGCTGACTTTAAGATTTATTTATTTAATAGTTTTAGTTTAGTTTAGAGAGTGGGACAGCCAAGATGGACCAACAGATCCCTTGTTGTTTCTAAACATTATTTCATGGCAAGGATACATTCTTTCAACTTTCAATGGTATGGAACAGGATTTCAATACTTTATGATGCCTTAATTATTAGGTGGCCTACATCAATTCTAGCTATTCTCTAAACATACACCATCAATCCAATAAGCAGTGTTGTGTTCCTTATTGTTCACTTTACCATCATTGTGGATTATATATCTGTTCCTACTAGTAGTTCAACATATTTCATTTAATCAATTTAAGACAACATCTGCTAAAGAAATAAGGCTTTAGTCCCAACGGCCTGGCTTAGAAATGAAGCAGAATGATAGATCAGACAAAAAAATGATATCAATAACATTCCACAATGGCCCACAAAAATACAGAACAATAAAACTGGATGTAAATGTGGTTTTAATTAATGGCTATATGTAATCTCAATCTTGTTATCTATCAACATCAATAAAAAAAATGACACTGTGCACAAAACAATAAAACTGGATGTAACTCTGAATACAATGGTTGTATGTAATTTTGAGCTTGTTATCCATCAACAACAACAACAAGGTCATATTGTACATAACACATTTATAGTAATGTGCAACACCATTTGGCTTTAACACAGTGACATAATCTAGCTCTGACTGGAGTACAAAATTGATGAAATGTTGATATGGCAGGGTATAATGGAAGATACACAATACTAAGCCTATCTACAAGAAGGAAATGCACTGCCAAAGGGCTTAGCAATGTTAGGGGCCTAGAATAATGCTGTTTTCAGTATTGTGATTTATTGTTGTGGAGAGAAAGGGGAGTTAAGTTACCTAGCGACTGGCTCAAGTACTATTTCAAATTATTATTTGAGCAGCCTGCTGGTCATCTTCATTCTTCATAAAACGTATTGCCTTGCTTCTTCATCATCACTTCACGTGAGGTGAAGACTAGTTGTTAACGTTACAGAAGAATGAAGATAATTACTAGTTTCTTCACCTTAACTTGTCACGTGACTTTCGTGATTATCCTGGAAACAGAGAACCTACACTGTGGCATCCTGGGAAATTATCTTTGAAATTAATGAAGTTATAATCAAAGTTAGTTCTTATTCAGATACGTTGTTGTTCGCACTTAGTAAAGTTAGTCTTATTATCCAGCAGGAATTCAACTAGTTTTATGTTTTTATAAGTCCATGATTATCTACCACGTTTGCTGGTTTATACGTGTTAAAGTGTTTACTGAACAGTTGTCTCAGTTTATGGTTGGGTATGAAAAAAACAGACCAATGTTCAATCATAAATAAATCACTTTATTATGCTTATAAATTGTTGTATGCCTACTTATTAACAACTGCACATGTTAACGAAATCATCCACTTATCAAAACCTTATTGCATTATTTTCACGCGTGCTTTGAAACTATTCATAATGTTACGTCTCCGTTCGTTAGTTAATTTTCCGTAAGTTCGTTCCGACGAAACTTTAGCGACAGAAGTCCTTTGTTAAATAAAACTGGTTTATTCTTTCCAAATACAACTTACGATACACTTAATTTCAACAGTCGCTCTATAACAAACGCTGTGTCTCACGTGGCCAATAATATTTTGTCCGTATACATTCAATTACTCTATTACCTACACATTATCCCGTCACG